GTCTGGACTTCCTCATCCTGTACCTACATATTTGACCTTTTGACCAACTCTCTAACCCCCTACTCACAGTCTCTGGCAACCACCTTTCTGCTTTCTGCTTCTTTGGGTTCAGTTCTTATATTCCACATGAGTGAGATCATGTGGCATTTGGCTTTCTGTGCCTCGCTTATTTCACTTAGCAAAATGTCTTTCAGCTTTGTCCATGTTGTTGAAAATGATAGAATTTTCTTCCTTTTTGATACTAAATAATGTGGCCTTGAACGTGTGTCTTCACATTTTTTTATCCACTCGTCTGTTGATGGACACCTAGGTTGGTTGTGTATCTTGGTTGTTGTGAATGGTGCTGCATTAGGAGCATAGGGCTGGGCGTGAAGCTCAGTGGTAAAGCATGTATGAGCCCTTGGGTGTGATCTCCAGCACTGCAAACAAAACCAGAAATCATGGAAGTAAGATACCTCTTCCACATACTCATTTCAGTTCACTTGGATATATACCCAGAGGTGGGATTGCTAGTTTTTTGAGAAAACTCTATAAATGCCATTATTTTCCATTTGACTCTACTAATTTACATTTCCCCCAACAGTTCCTTTGCCTACATACTCACCAATTTTGCCTTTTTTTTTTGATGGTGCTGGGGATTGAACCCAGGGCCGTGTGCATGCAAGGCAAGCGTGCTACCAACTGAGCTATATCATCAGTCCCCCTTTGTCGTCCATTTTTAAATTGAGTTATTTTATCCTACTGACTTATTTGGATATAAACCTGTATCAGATACATGATTTGCAAATATTTTTTCCTAGATTGAGATTGTCTTTTCATTCTGTGGATATTTACCTTTGCAGAAGCTTTTTAGTTAGATGAAATGCCATTTTGACTATTTTTGCAGTCTGTGTTTTGGGGGTGGGGGTCATATGTTAAAAACTCATAGCTTACACCAAGGTCAGGGAGTTTTTCTCTCTATTTTCTTCTCGTAATTTTACAGTTTCATGTCTTCAGATTAAGTCTTAAATCTATTTTGAGTTGATTTTTATATATGATATGAAAATAAAGCTCCATGTCATTCTTTAGGATTTTAGTAATTATATTGGTATAACTAGATAATTCAAGATAATCTATCTCAAGATTCTTAATCACATATTTCAAGTTCCTTCTGTCTTGTGAGGTGACAGTATCACAGGTTCTGGGGAGAAGATGTAGATATTATTGTGGGGCCATTGTTCATCTTACCACATGTGTACTTAAAAGTAAATGTTAATTTCTCTTGAACTTCCCTTTTCCAATATGCAAGGCTCTGGGAGTTCAGACTTCTAGAGTTTTCATCAGAATCCCTTGGGTGTTGGTCAAGTATACACATCTTTCAAATTCTGATCAGAATACATCAGTAATAGCTTCTGTCTGGTGAGCACCTGCTATGCACGGGGTCAGTTACTAGAGGCTTTAGGTGCACTGCTTTTTAGCTTTTCATGAGCTAAATTGCTTTTTCTGCCAGTATCAACTCTCATAAAGCTGTTCAGTATGAATTTTGATATCACATGTTGAGGAGATACCTTGTGGTGCAAGTGTTGATTTCTGGGATGATGTCCATGGACTACAGATTTTTTCTGAATTGGGAGATCAGAATAATTGTTAGTGCTTCTTTTATAAAGGTAAATAAATAGACATTGTGTAACCCAGTGTCTACTCCTAGATATTTGTCAAAGAAAAATGTTGACAGTGTATGTTTACACAAAGATATATACTTTAATATTCATAGCAGCTTTATTCATGATAGCTTTAAAACTGGAAACTGACCAAAACTGCTCATCAGCTGGTAAGTGGATAAACAAATTTTGGTTTATCTGTATAATGGAAGTACACTACCCAGGAGTCAAATGACGGACTACTATTCCATTCAATGTAGATGAAGCCCAAAAGCATTAGGTGAAAGAAACCAAACACCAAAAGCCACATAATATCAATCAATGTAATGTACTGCTGAATTACACACTTAAAATGATTAAGATGACAAATGTTATTCCTATTTTACCACTTTTTTAAAAAAATGCTATATAATGTATGATTCTGTTTATATGAAATTCTAGAAAAGGTAAAATTTATAATGAAAGAAAGCTTATCTAATGGCTGTTAGAGGTCGGGCTGGGACTGACTACAAAGCACATGAGGAAACTTTTTGGGGTGATGGAAACATTCTAAATATAGTGTTGTGTAACTTAAGTCAAAACTTAATTGCACACTTAAAGTTGGTGAGTTTATTATTTGTAAATTATCGTTCACTAAAGCACAAAAAGAGAAGAAAACATGGTTAGGAATTTGAGGGTGTTGAAAATTCAATCTTCTAGGATTTTACTTTGCTATTTTCTAAAGGTTGTGCATAAGATCCTAAGTAATGCAGTAAAGGGGAATATATTGTTTTTTCATCCCTCATCAGGTTGCATGAATATGTTTAGTAGCTACAAACAATATATAGTGCATTTAGGATCTACAGAATTATTTAAAAGTTGTCTTAACAAGAATATCATAGTCAGCATTCCCAGATGTAGAAGAAAGGAGACAGTGTGTTATTTCCTACTTGTGGTTCCTTTTGGAATGAGCTTTGCTTGCTTGCTACCAGAGGGGTGATTCATTTGCAATATTGTTTTTAAAAAAATTTTTTTAGTTATAGGTGGACACAATGCCTTTATTTTAATTTACTTATTTTTCTGTGGTTTATTGAGCCCAGTGCCTCACCCATGCTAGGTGAGCACTCTACCACTGAGCCACAACTCCAGCCCTCATTCGTAATATTTTGTTGTAACTTGGTGTCAACTTATATTTGTCTTAGACATTTCTACATATATAAGGTAAGATCACATCAGTATCTTTTCACCTTGATGTTTCTCTAATTCTAGGCAAATTCCATTTTTTCTCTGTCTCTCAACATTGTTATTCCCTCCCTCTCAATAGCTTCCTTCTTTTGTGCTCTCTGGGATTTTGCTCCCATTACAGAAATGCTTTCATTCCCTCTGGCTGGTATGTCTTTGTCCTTAGGTCCCTTATGAGAGCATAGCCAATTGCTTGGTTTCCTCTACACTTGCCCCTCAGGAATATCTTGTCCTCTCCTATAATAATCTACTCTGAAGCACCTCAGATCTCTTGTTCTAAGCTCTCATTAAACCTTACCTCTCATTTCAGCTTCCTTCAGGATGTTTCCACAGGCCACTTTGTTTTGTGGTTCTAGAGACTGAACACAGAGGCACTTTACCACTGAACCAATACCTGGCCTGTTTTTATTTTGAGATAAGTTCTCGCTAAGTTGCTGAGCCTGGCCTTGAACTTGTGATTCTGCTGTCTCAGCCTTTCTAGTTGCTGGGATTATAGGTGTTTGTGACCTGGCTTCCATTTCCTGACTTACCATTGCCCAAACTAAACTTAATCCCTTTTCTTCTATTCCTCTTCCATTCTGTCCTTCTCCACATCTTTGAGACACTACCACTCTTCCCCTTAGGGTTAAGGTCTGAAGCTCTGCCATTTTCTCTTTCCTCTGACTCCTCTATTCAGTTACTTTTCAGATTGTATTTCCTGCAGAGTCTCTCCCCTTTTTTGGTCTTTTTGATGCCGCTTTAGTCTGGATCCTTGTTGTCAGGGGTCTCATGACATCTTTAAGATATTCTCAAGTGAAAGCTTTTGGTAAGGATGACAGGTTTGTACACTTGGGGAGCCACTGTGTTATAAAATCCATGCCTCAGAGCCCTGTTAGGTGGCTGAATCACCAGATTTCAGAGCCTGACTTCCTCGGAGAATACACCTTGTGTTTCCCTTTGCAGAACAGTTTCCTTGTGTGTACAGTTTCCCCTTTGCTGCCGTAGCCTCTGCTTTTTCAGTTACAGCTTTCTCACCTCATGAATACACCCAGTGCTCCCTTGTTCCCCGCAAAGCCCAGGCTTTTATAGTTTGTGATATTCTTGAGATTATTTCAGGTTTCTGCTTTTGTGCTATCTCTAGTCAGGTTTTCCTTCTCTTTAAACAGTCTTGTGTTACTAATCTTCCAACCAAAAAGCAAAAAGAAAGTGCCTGATACTCTCTTTTCATCAGAGAGAAATTTAAAGAACAGCTTTATAAACAGAAATTCATGTGCTAAATTCCTATATTAATCACTAAATATGTGTGTGTGTTAGCTTCCTTGTGTTTTGCTCTCTGATTTTTCTTTGGGGCTAATTTTGTTGTTGTTGTTGTTGTTCATTCCCCCCCCAAACCCCCATGACCTGCCTTATTTGATAACCCTTATAGCAGAAGTTACTTTGTAGACTTGGTTGCTCAGTTAAAGAACTATGGGGAAATTTTGTTAACAAGAAAAGAAAGATTGATGAAGGTTGGGATTGTATCCAGGGTCTAGAGCATGCTAAGCATGTGTTCACTGAAATACATGCCCAGCCTCATTTGCTTCTTTTCTTCCTTTTCCTTTTCTTTCTTTCTTTTTTTTTTTACCAGTGATTGAACCCAGGGTTATTTAATCATCTGAGCCACATTCCCAACCCTTTTTTATTTTTAATGAACTTGCAATCGCCCTGTCTCAGCCTCCCAAGTTGCTGGGATTCATAGGTGTGGGACACCATGCCTGGCTCATTTGCTTTTTCTGAAGAGAAGGGCTGGCCATAGATGGGTTTCTAACCTTGGACTCATGTGATTCACACTTAGGAAATATAGTCATTGCAAATGAGTTATCTGCTTCAGAAGTGTAAAGTTGATGAATTAGTTCAGTGGGTAGGGTATTTTAGTGTTCTGTTGATCTTTTCATCAGAGAGATTTAAAGAACAGCTGTATAAACATGTTTGGATTTTAAAATATAAAGTCTTTATATTTCTTTGCAATAAAATGAAACAACATTCTCAGGTTAGTATAAAAATGGAAACTTTGACCAGATTTGGAATGAAGTGACCAGAAGCCTAGAAGTATTGGTTTTTCAGAACCACTGCATGATGCTGTATTTATTTACTTTTTCTTTTTATCTTTGGACATTCTAGAGGGGTATTTGATGCTTCCCTCAAAATGGCTGGCTTTTATGGATTGTATACCTGGCTGACTCATACTATATTTGGCATCAATATTGTCTTCATACCATCAGGTAACAACCATATCATCACTTCCACTGCCCTCTATTTAAGAAAAGTTAGACTATTTGACATATGTTAGGAAATGTCATTTTCTTTAAGTTTAGAATAAATTTTATAATTTGAGACCTAATCTAATCCAGATTAAGAGCAGAAATATGGCTTGTATTATCCTTTTTTTGTTACTATTTTCCCAGTGGCTAGAACCACACCCAGCACGTTTCAGCACTTAACACACACCTAGCATGTAACTGGTGCTCAGTATATCAACTGACCTAAAATAGCTTTGTCCTGCCTCAGGGAGAGGATGACTGCATCTGGGAGCACATAGGCTGAATCTAAACCTGTCATGATCTGTTCTGGTAATGTCCTCATTCCATAAGTACCAGGTGGTTTAATGACCTTCTTGTGCTTTTTTTCCTTTATGTAATCTCTGTTCCTGTCCTTTGGCTTTTTCTTCCTTTATTTCTGTTACTCCCTGTTTTCCTAAATATCTCTGCATTCCACATTACCTCTATCTTCATCGCTTCTACTTTTCTCTCTCCCCTCTTTCTTTACCTTCTTTCCTTCTTGGTGTCCACAAACCCACACTGTGATGTACAAGCACTCTGAGAGCATGTGGGGGTTCTTATTCCATAATCACCCTGAGAGGCAGTCAGAGTGGTGATGTTCATGTTGTCTAGATAAGAAACCAAGGTTTCCTAAGGTCACACATATGTTTAATGGTTCCAGAGAGAGACAGACCGACTGACTGACCCCTGAGCCACATCCCCAGGCCTGTTTTGTATGTTATTTAGAGACAGGAACCATTCCTCCTTTAGAGCAGTGCCATTCCTCATTGATTTGCTTAGTGCCTTACTTTTGCTGAGGCTGGCTTTGAACTCAAGATCCTCCTGCCTCAGGCTCCGGAGCTGCTGGGATTATAGGCATGTGCTGCTGTGCCTGACTACATTTCATTTTTATTTGAAGCAAAGTAAAGAATATACATTTATATCTGGGTTTTAGAAACTGATTTCTTTTTCCTCTTCTCTCTTTCTGAGCAGGGGATGGAACTCAGGGCCTTGTACCTTCAGTCCAGTATTCTACCACTGAGCCACACCCCAGGCCTAAAGACTAATATTTAATTAGCTTTTGCACTCAATAAGAATGTTGATAAATGTGCTACCCTTTTATAGGACTGTTTTTTAATTACCCATTCAGAGTAACACCTGCAGAACACTAAGATTTTATTACTGATGAACAGATTTACAAAGTAGACACACACATTATAAAGATTTTTAATGATAAATTTTAAGGTATTAGACTCTTATTTAACTGAAAAATTCAGTTAAATAGGGCTTATCAGTCTCTTAAAATTAGAGTTTGTGAGTTTTGGTGGATATTTTTAAGTAGGAAGAGATTAGTTTTTGCTGCATTGTGATTATTTTGTGAGGTATCTTTTCTTTTTTTGTGTTTTATTAGCCTTAGCAGCAATCCTTGGAGCAGTGCCATTCCTTGGGACATACTGGGCAGCAATACCCGCGGTTCTAGACTTGTGGCTGACACAAGGCTTAGGATGCAAGGCCATTTTGTTGTTGGTTTTTCATCTCTTGCCAACATACTTTGTAGATACTGCAATTTATTCTGATATTTCAGGGTGAGTAGTCGGAAATTACTGGTGAATGATCGAGCGGTATGTATTGTTTTTGAAGCAGTTTTGTATTTTGAGGGGAATGGGGTTTGGGGAAAGAGCTGATAAAAGGAATTTTCAGTAAAGTAGTCTTTTAAATTTTAATTTAAAATAACATTGTTTATAAGGTATGTTATTTTATATATTTTATATTTTGTAAGGTATATTTTATCTCAAAAACAAAGACAAAAAGGATATGGCTCAATGTTCGAGCACCCTTGGATTCAGTCCCCAGTACCACACATACACACACAGAAGACAGTATGATTCAGTGAGGAATACAGGTTAAATTTAAGACAGAATCAAAACCTTGGTCATATAAGAAGTATCTTTTCATTTTGTTTTTTTTTTTTGTTGTTGTTGTTTGGTACTGGGTTTGAATCCAGGGGTGCCTGCCACTGAACTCTCTCTCCAATCCTTTTTATTTTTTATTTTGAGACAGGGTCTCAGTAAGTTGCTTATTAGGGCCTCACTAAATTGCTAAGACAGGCATCAAACTTTCAGTCCTCCTTTTCTGAATTGCTGGGATTGCAGGTGTGTGGCTTCTGTGCCAGCCATTTTTTTTGGTTTTGATAGCTTTTTAAGAATTACATTGAGTAAATCAAGCCAATTGTCATTTAGTCATATATTCAGATTCACATTGCTTATTAGAATTTAGGTTGTGACCAAAAGTTTATGGCCTACTCAAGCTGTCTAGTACACTGAATTTTTAAATAAAATAAAAGGTAAGAGTAGACAGGGTCAGTGTTTCCAGAAGTAGTACTCTTCAGTGAAATTATGTAGAGAGTAATTGTATACTACCTTGTTTTCTCTTTTTAGTTAGTTAGAGTAGAAAAAACTTATGTATAAGAACTCTGAAGTCCCAAAGTTCCAGAGCAAAAAGAGACAAGCAACTCTATAAGCCAGCCTTAGGGAACTGGTATGCCTAAAACTTGAGAGAGAAAATTAAAGGAGAACATCAGGGTGTGGGTAACTAGTTTAATAGATGAGTTTTGAACACTAGGAATAAGTGTTTTCATTTATCTAAACTTTGCTGTATATTTTATATTAAGGTAAAGAGTTCTAAGTCAGCATTAATCTGCAGGGACCCACCTGCACTGGGTATAGAATATCTGTTAACAGTGCTATTTCAGTTGTAAATAGGCAGATGTCACACACTGGTGCATGGGCAAGTAAAGTCTTGTATCTTGATTTTCTTACCATCAGTGATCAGTTATCTTCATGGAGGAATTTAAAGAAAGCCTGCAATAGATTAAAAAGCCCAGTGTACTGAAGAATGGACATTGTGTTAGAAAGATTTTTTAGAGTTGTGTGAGGTTTGTTTGTTCATTCACAAGCTAATCCCTGTGCTCTTTTTTCCAGAGGTGGCCATCCTTACCTGACAGGCTTGGCAGTAGCTGGTGGTGCTTACTACCTTGGCCTGGAAGGGGCAATCATTGGGCCCATACTTCTCTGCATCCTTGTGGTTGCTTCCAATATCTATAGTGCCATGCTAGTGAGTCCCACGAATTCAGTACCCACACCAAACCAGACCCCATGGCCTACTCAGACTCAGCGGTAAGTTCATGCAGAATGATCATAAACCACATGTGAACATTGAACTGTCTTGTCTCTGTATTTGGTAAATAAATCATCCAGACTTGTCAGGATAAAGGTGTTTGAATACTAATGCTGTGAAGAAGACTCTAAAGAAACAAATTGTTTTCAGATTGGGTTTCTTATGGCAGGAAAAATTTTAAACTATATTAGATCAAAATTGTTAATGTCATAAAAGACCAAAAATAAGTAAATTTAAGAGAGATTGTAGGGGGAGACTCAAGAAATTGGACAACCAAATGCAGCACATGAATCCATGGTAGGTTTCTGGATTGGGGATGAGCAGAACTTATAAAGAACATTTATGGAACAATAGGGAAGATTAACCAAGGACTGTATTTTCCATAATATATAGTCACTGTTAAATTTCTTGGATTTGATGGTTTCTTTTGGCTGTATAGGGGAATGTCCTTTAGGGATAACATGCCATGATTTTTAAAAACTTATTTTCAGCCAAAACAGAGGGGGGGGAGGGGAAGGAGGGAGGGAGGGAGGAAGAAAGAAAGAGAAAGGACTGTAATAAAACACTGGTGAATCTAGATGAAGTCTTATGGATTCCTGGTCCTCCCCCCCCCCAACCCAAGTTTTCTTTGTTGTATTATAGTTTGTTGTTGAATATTTCTACATACACAGTACAGGTATTAAAATAATAATTGTTCTCATCTGTTATCACCAGAATTTCATAAAGTAAATTATAATGTTTAAAATATTTCCCAATTATCTCATAATTTTGTTATAATATTTTATTTAGGCATATCTTATGGTGATATACAAGTCCTCAATATATTAAGACTTATGCTAATGATCTTTGTTATATATTTATATTCACGTAACTACCACCCATATCAAGATACAGAACGTTCCCATTATTCTGGAGTTCTTCCATATGCTTCTTCAGTTTGGCCCCTCTGCCTGCTAATATTCTGAGTCACTTTAGTTCTGTGTTTGAACGTCATCAATGTGTAAACTCTTAAGGGAGACCTCTTTTGATGTACATTCTGTCTCTGGGATTTACCCTTCTTGTTGCACTTTTTTCCCCATTGTTCATTTTTTCCCACTGTTATCTAGGATTCGAGTATATGAATATACTACAATCTCATTTATTCAGTGTAGTATTGACAGACATTTGGTAATTTCCATTAATGGCTGTTATAAATCAAGATGCTATGACAAAGTGGAACATCTGGGTATACATCTGGTTTAATGTTAATAGACTCTTGCAAAACAATTTTCTATGTGGAATACCAGAATTTACATTCATAACAACAAAAGTAAGAGGGACAGTGTAAGAATAGATTGTAACTTTCCAGAGTCTTTATTGCATCATTCTTATTATCCTCAACTGGAAAACACAGTTTCTCTGCCTTGGGTTATTCTAGTGTAATTGAGGAGTCATTGACAAGTTGCTTCTGACCATGTACTTAATAACCATTTTATATTATCATATACAATTCTTGTATATAATTCTTGTATATATACTTCTTCTAAGTGTTAAAGAGACATAGTCTTTTTTTTTTTAATTTTATTTTTTGATACTGGGGATTGAGTCCTAGGGTGCTCTGCCATTGAGCTACACCCCAGCCCTTTTTATTTTTTATTTTGAGACAGATTCTTGCTAAGTTGCTGAGGCTGCCTTGAACTTGCAATCCTCCTGCCTCAGCCTCCCAAGTCATTGGGATTACAGATGTATACCACCATACTTGGCAAGACATGATCCTTTTAACTCAGAATAAGTGAAGTAGTTTCTGAGTTAGAGTTGGTTGGTCAGAGGTCCATTTGAGCTAATGCAGTACTCTCACAGGGTGACAAGGAAAAATTGGCTTCCTCAGCAAGAATAGATAGAGGGGGACCTACGAGGTTTTGACAAAGACCTTACCACTTGGGATGTGATGACACTAGGATATCTTTTTCTGCCTTTACCTCTGAGAACAAAGGCTTTCTTGGGAACCAGAGATGCCAACAGAATGTAAATTGAAAGTAACAGAGAGCCCTTGCTAAGTTGATACCTGTTCTTTGGGCTTACTAAACAAGTATAAAAAAGCAACATTCATTGGTGTTTTGTTGTTACATTTGAAAAAGCTTGTTAATGATTCTAAGTTAGTACAGCAATAATTTTTAGCTGAAGCAGAAGAAACTAATATGAAGAGTTCAAAAAGCAAAAGACCTGTTCCCTACTTCCTCTTCTGAAAGTAAGCAGCTGGCATGGGGGTTTGACGAAGGCAGTGTGAGGACCACATTGTTTTTTTTTTTTTTTTTTTTTTTTCCCTTCAAAGTTAATAGGAAGTTTAAATGACTTCTTAAATAGTAACAAGCATAACTTTTCTAACATTGGAACTTACTGTGTGCTAAGTTTTGTGATAAAAATTTTACACATATTGTCTTATTTTTCTTAGTCTATGCAGTATTTTTGTATGCCATGTTTGTAGATGAGGAAATCAGGTTTAGAGGAGGGTATCTTCCCTGCATTCACACCCCTAGGAAGCCCACAGGCTGGTGTGTTTCAGCTCCTGCTGTTTTTCTGCCTTTCCTTCCCTAAACACTTTGGGGTACCAAGAGAAATGCAGAATTCTCCTGTTTACTAACTCAGTAACTGTCCCCTCACTTTCCTGTGCCATGTTTGGTTGTCCTTATTACTTCCTGTGTCCTCATTCACTGTCTTTACTCCATTCTGCCAGTATTAACCTCAAGTTTGCCCTGTGCCTTGTGCCCCAGTGCCACCACTGTTCTGAGCTGGTGCTTCTTATGGATCTGTTGCAGCCTTGTTGGTCTCCTAGCTCATCTCTCAGTGACCATTCTAACTGTTCTTTAGTTTGTTTTTCATACTATGGCTAATGTGGTCTTTTCAAAATGCGAGCATGTGTAATCACAAAATTGTCTTACCAAAAATGGCCTCAGTGGTTTTAGGAGAAAGATAACATGCTTGATGTGGTTCTCAGAGCTGCCCTGTGTGAGCTGGCCCAGGCCTGCCTCACTTTTGAAAGTCTAATTAATAGACTCATGAAACCAAAAACAGATCAGATAAAAAAAGATTTTTGCAATGTGACCTTAAGCCTGATTAAAAAAAAAAAAGGATGAGATATAATAAAGCCCAACTTTAGAACTTCATTCCAAGTATTTGGAAGGCAAGGGATATGAATAACTGTGATGCTCTGTCACAAGGGTTGTACCCTTGGCTGTGCAGAAACAACTAAGTTAAGTTAGTCTGTTAAAGCTTTTTATTTTTATATGTTTAAATTTTACTCTGCATTTCTGGGAGACTGGGAGTCAACAAATCTTATTAAATCAGAAAAGATTTAAACATTTCCGTGGGAGAGGAATTTGTAGAAGTCTCATTGAAACTTAAAAGGAAACAATTCTTGAAATGTTTTCAAAGAGCAAGAGATGGTAAGTGAGAAATTACAGGGCAAAATCCCTGTTGCTCTTAGAGGAGGTATAAAATGTTAACATTCCTCTGCTCAAATCCCTAGCCACATATGGTCCTGTTCTGGACTGCTCGTTTTCAGATGAGGAATCATACAACTGTGATTCTTAGGAGCACAATAATCCTTATGGTTTGGAAAAGAAGAATGCTGTATGTAGAGGGTTTAGGTAGGACATTATAGTGCGAGTTATTGAACTCAGGCCTCTTGCGTGCTAGGCAAGCTGTTTACCTCTGAGCACATCTCCAGCCCAATGTTTTTAGAAATAGCATCAATGCAGTGCTTATCCCTTTGTTTCTTCCTAGTCCGGAGAGTTACAGTTTTTTAGGCCTTGCCGATTAAAGCAATACCTCTTGGATAGGCCAGAAACAAGTAGGTTATGGATTTTGTCTTCCTGTATAATTTGAGGTTTGCTCAAGATCAGTGTTACCTCAGTTGGATTTTATATGCCCCCCACATCAACATGAAACCCTATACACCAGAGATTACATTGAGCTGGAAAATGTTTAGTATCTATTTTCTAAGCTTGTTTCATTTTTTTTTTTTTTCCTTTTGAATGCTTCTCCAGGCTTTCTTGGCCTGGAGGCAGCTCTGAATAGTAGGTATGAATTTCAAGGTTACAGCTAAGCCTTCTTGTCAACAGAAAGCAGTCACTAGGATAACCACAGTCTTAATCTTATTTCATGCATCTTTGCCCAGAGGCAGAAATTTTCATTCATAATTTAGAGGAAATGAGTACTTACGACTTAAGCTTCCAGATATCTTAGAATTTTTAAAAGATGTAGAAGGATGACTTAAGAAACTTATTGGGTATTGGAAAATGCTTTATTGGCCAGCTTTGGGTTATTGATTGTAAAAAATTTTCCAGGGCTTCACAGCATTGAGTGCTACCTGAAATTCCTATTGTCAGAAAGAGCTTGCTGTCAAATTTGCATGTATAGAAGTGTAAAAACACAAATTTGGATGCAACTCTGAAAATTAGACAAATAGGAATCTAGAGCAATGGGGGTGGGGGGTGGGGGTGACTTTTCCCTTAGACGTCTGGCCATGTCTGGAGACATTGTCAGAACTCTGGATAGAGGCTAGCAGTGCTGCCTTTCAAACATCCTGTATGGCTCAAAGATATCAACAGTGTCACTATTAAAAAATGATAGGTAGATAGATAGAAGGAATGCATATAATATTCATGTATGTGTAAATCTTTATTTTTGGACATTCTTTTGAGAACATGAAAATATTTAAGGAAACAACATTCATTCCAATTCTTAGACCTGTCAGCATACTTTTTTAACATGGTGAGTTTAGTTATGCCATAAAAGCCCTTTCAAAGCTCAGGAGGCATAGCCAGGAAGCTTACCTGTTTCTTGAGGCTGTTCTTTTAAGAAGAGCTGTGCCACTGAGAGTCATGCTTCAGAGGCTTAGGTCACTGTCCTTGAAAGAGCCTTGGGCAAACTCAGCATCCTTGAATGTGCTTTCTCTTCTGAGACATTATACTTGTGTTCCTCTTGACCTTGAAGTACTTTCTACTTTGTGTTAAAGTTTAGTCTTCTGTTTATCTCTGGCTTGCCTGTCTAACCCTGTTTGTTGGACTGAAAATCAAGAAGACAAAAGGAGTCAGGGAGGTAGCATGATTGCAGAATTGTATTTGAAGTTCAGATAATTTGCTTTGTAATTTTTTTTTTTTTTTAATTGTAGTTGGACACCATACCTTTATTTTATTTATTTACTTTTATGTGGTACTGAGGATACTGAGGATAGAACCCAGGGCCTCGCACATGCTAGGCAAGCGCTCTACCGCTGAGCCACAACCCCAGGCCCTGCTCTGTAAGTTTTTAGGTGATTGTATCTAATGAAAAATGTTTGCCATCTCTTATTTCTGCAGTTGTGAGTCGTTCCCTGAAGGTGGAATGCTTAACCTTGTCTTCTACTTCAGTCTTATTTTCAATGAAAATGTTGAGCAGTTTGTTTTTAATAATCAATACTTGGTTATTGGTATGAAAATAATATTAGCTTTATTTGACTGTTAGGGAAAAAAATCTAAAAATGAACAACATGCTATAGTGATGTGGCCACAAACCAATATAATTAGAAGACATTAAAATTCTTTTGAAAAATGTAGGCATTTTAAGGTTATTCTTTTTTACACTCCTAATTGGTGGTATTGTTAATAAAGGAGCAAAGAAATTTTATGTAAAATGATGGGAATAAACTGTCCTTATGACTATATCACTTAAGAGATTTGCTTGTATGTAACCTCAAAACTAACCCACTATCAGTGGAACGCAAAGTACCAGTGACTTCAGCTAAAATACTCATATCTTGCTGGGGTAAAATGTCCAGAGGGACAGTCCAGGGCCAGTATGACTATTTTGTAAACATCTGAGCCCAGCTTCTCTCCATTCTGAAGTGCTACCAGCTGTGATTTGAAGCTCTTGTCTAGATGGATGCTGGAACTCATGTTCTTTTATAAACCCTGGCCTGGCCATTAGGCTGCCAATACAGATAGAAACCTGACTGGGTGACATTTACAGCTTAGACATGTAAATTTTGTATTAAAGGCAAGTTAGCAGTGCTGGTGCAGTGATGGCACATGCCTATAGTACCAGTGACTTGGGAGGCTGAGGCAGGAGGATGGAGAGTTCAAAGCCAGCGTCATCAATGGCGAGGCACTAAGCAACTCACTGAGACCCTGTCTGTAAATAAAGTCTAGTGCCCCTGAGCTCAATCCCCGATGCCCCCCCCCCCCCAAAAAAAAAAAAAAAAAAGGTCTGGGTTATAGCTCAGTGGTAGCTTGAACCCCTGGGTTCAAGCTCCAGTAACAACAACAACAAAAGTCAGCTAACGCTGTCTTGAGGAAGGCTGATGTATACAGAAGACCACCTCCGTCCTGACCAGATATTACCTGCCAGTTAGCAGCATTCACTTAACACATCTGATGTGGGTCAGAAGCTATACAAATCATTTGATTAAAAGGATTGCCCCATTCCTGAACCTCATCCTTCAGAGCTTGGATTCTGCTGGATCACTTTACTGTTTTCTAACAAAACTTATCCATTTAGTGTTTTAATCTTTTTTTCTTTTCAGTGTTATCATATTCTCTTTCCAGCAAGTAAAAAGGTCAAGGAGTTGAGGGAGATTGTTCTTCTCTTTTAAGAAATTGGTGTAACACCCCAAGTGGCATAACACTTCGACTTACATCCCATGAGTCAAAACTTGGTCAGGTGGTCAGTCGTGTGTAGTCTCGGAAATCTGGGGGAATAGTCTTTTGAATAGGAGATAACAGACTCATCAAGAAACTGGATTCTTGTTAGTAAAGAATGAGGGGGACAACAAACAGACTTTGAAACAATTTTAGTGAAAATATTAAGAAAAAAAATAGTGGCTGTATAATCTCATCAAGGCTCTCAAGTTTATAAAGTACTGTTGTCTGGTGACTGGTTAGATGCTTCCTCCAATGTGACTTTGTTGCCTCCACCCTCTTTTCCAAAAGCAAAACTAAACATTCTGTCTTTTCTTCTTTTAGGACTTTCCGTGACATCTCTGAAGATTTGAAATCTTCAGTAGACTGACTTGGTTTCATTGCAGTGGTTTCTCTATGAAGTTTCACCTTGACAGTGAGTTCAGCTGAGCTGAGGCCTTGTGTCCTTTCAGCTGTGTCTAGAAGGCAGAGCCAAGAAAAGAAGCCTCCTGGCCTTCCATACAGAACACCTGGACAAGAGAAACTCAACTGAGGGCTGCTTTGCATTTTAAAACATAGAGTTGAGACTTCAGAAATGTGGTTTGCTCACTTAACTGTTGCTAAGATGGCTTGAAGTTTCTGTTTATACACTGACACCATGGCTTGAATTTTTCCCACTTTGATTATAGTAATATGTATTTATAAATTTATTTTAAGAATTTGAAACTACCTGCTGTTAAAAATATATACAATGACATTTTCTCTTATTTTAAGAAATCAGTTCATAAACTTTTCTATGACAGTCACTTTTCAGTGAAGAGGGCTTTCACTTTTGAGTATGTAGTTATGTGAGCAAGATTACCCTTCTTGAACAATGTACTGTTTCCTCTTTGAGAAAAGAACAAATCTTAAGTGCATGGGTAGGGAAGCATATTTGATGTTCTGCTGAATGTTGCAACCAGAGGAGATACAGAAAGTCTGAGGCTCTTCCTTCTCCCTGTGTCCCTCATTACAGTGTTACCAAAATTAAAACTTGGCTGCCCACATTAAATTTAAATACATACGAAGCTGCTATGAATGTTAAACAATATGAAGGAATTCATGCTCATTAAGTTTTTTCTTTTAAATGCTTAAGTGAAAACTCAGGTGTAGCGGTACTGATTTCTAAATGTATTCCCTATTATTTGGAACTCTGCCAGGTAGTTATTTAAAAGCAGTATAGTTTTATATTTATATCTTGTCACTTAGCACAGTGCCTTGCACATAATGACTCTAGATGAATGAATGCTTGCTGAACTGAATTGTAACTTCTTAAATATCTCAGATATTACATTAACCAGCATAGTGCTTTATGTTTTATACAGTCGTTTTACACGTATTATTTCACAACCACTTCACATTAGCATTCATGTAGCTTTTTATTATTTTACAACATTTTACACTGATGGGGAAGATAAGGTTCTGAAAAGTGACCACTGTAGTCACATAGTTTAGTGAGATTTGGCCTCAGCTCTTTCTGACTCCTTAGGTCTGCATACTCTGTTGTACTAGGGAGTGTTCTTTCTCTATCTTTTGCAGGTTCCCCAGTCCTGTGAGCCAGAATGGGTGTTGGCATTTGTTATGCCTGCAGACTTGCTTTGCCGTTAATCATGTGCTGGGACTGAGGCCCTGCCCTGTGCTTTGTACCCTTTCTACCTTTTAGAATAATCATCAGTCCCATCCTTTGCTCTCAAAGGAATATGGAGTAGAAGGAGTTTATAATGTTGAGGGTTTACTTTTTTAGAAAACATTTAAAAGTAGAAGTTTTTTTTTTCCCTAAAACACCTCACTAAAAATTGATAATTTATTTGCTTAACTTTATTCTTATACTACTTAAACAAAAAAACCCATCTAGAAAAGGTTACCAAGATGTCTTTCTTTTTTTTTTTAATATTTATTTTTTTAGTTTTTTAGGTGGGCATAATATCTTTATTTTTTATTTTATTTTTTTATGTGGTTTTGAGGATCGAACCCAGCGCCCCACGCATGCCAGGCGAGCATGCTACCGCCTGAGCCACATCCCCAGCCCAAGATGTCTTTCAACTGTTGTTCTATAGTAGACTACCTGTAGATATATTATTTGTATTATAAATCCTTCAACATTTATAACCTGTTATTTCATTAAGTGTTAGATTTGACCACTAAATAGCTTATTCTCCTCTTTAGTCATTTATTCAGTGATGCATTTGTTCATTAGCACATTTTTCAAGAGTTTGCTAACTCTAGGCTCCATGCTAGGCACTGTACAGGGTGGTGTGATAACTCATAAGGAGGCGCTCTCACCTTAAATCTTAGCCAGATCATGTGTAATATTAAATTAAAAAATTTTGTATTAAAAGGGTTAAAAAAGGAAATCAAGTTTGTTTTCCTTAACTATATACTGGTAAGTTTATAGGTATAATTAGCACACGTTCATAAGAGGGAAATACTATAGACAATGAATAAATGTGTGTATACAAATTATGTTCCTCCAAAATGCTTTTAGCTGTGTAAGGTGATATTGCAAAAGACTAAACTTGAGCTAATATATGACTGTTGCTGGGATAATTATTAGTATGACTATCAGGTTCTTAGAGAGGAACTCTGAGCTGTAAGAGAATAGTTTCAAGCTGCCAAAATTAGCAACAGCGATGTAATACCACCCTGAAATATCAGGAGCAGAGGTGCCCCAGAGTGCTACACAGTCCTGATCAGGAAACTTGAACTGCTCTGTTGCTACAGTGACAGTGTAAGGATTGGTTCAGTCCATCAGCTAGGGAAATCTGAACCTGAGAGAAGCACCCCAGCATGTGTCCTTAGGTACAGGGAGAAGGTTTTATAGAATTTTCACAGGATGTAGTTAGAGATCAGGTGGTATGACAAGGCAGGTATCAAAGATAACTTGTCCCAAAGAATCTCCTTCAGAATTTAACACAGAAAGAGAAAGTTTCCCTAGGAACAGACAATGTAGCAACAAAGTAGATGTAGCTTCAGTAAAAACCGAGTATAGAAATCTGTCCAAGTATCTTGTGTTGTATAGATTTATTAAAAATTACTTTCAGGTTCACTATTAGTTGTACACTGAATGGTATGGGGGTTGGGGAAGATACACACTCTGCACACAGAAATGTTCCTGTCTTTCTAAGCAATAACAGGGAATAGGATTTTCAACATAAATTCCACATCCTGTAAATCCTTTTTGAATCCACATTCTGTTCCTGGACAATTTCTGTTTGACTGCCTTAGATGCTAGTCTGGATATTGTTAAAATTGCAAGATATTCTAACCCCCTTTTCCATGAGAGGCGGTTAACGAGTAGTTTTTTTCTTGGTCTCAGAGACTAGTGTGGATTGACTCTTAACTGTGGAAACATTTGCAAATCACATTATTTTGAGACCCTGTATTTAAACAAACTCTGTAGCTTTTGGAATTGGCAGCTGTTTATTCCAGTTAAAGGCCTGCTATAGGGCTTGCAGGTGAGGTCTTCTGACTAACCTTGGTCCTAACATGAACCCATTGTGACTTATCAGGACTGTCTAGTACCTCTAGTTGCCACCTTGCTTATGTTAGTACTTCAGGAATGTGTCACGGCTGGGCTAGACTACTCAGAAATTCAGGCCATGAGGGGTTAGATTAGAGCACATTGATTTAGGTAAGCTATCCAGAACTTTCATCCTAAGTGTTTATGTGTAAAATGCTCAAGATTGCACATTCCAGTCTTGACCTTCAGTCCTCTCTGAACTCTCCCAGGACCCTTAAAGAATACTACAGTAGGGCTGAGAGTACCCTTTTCACAATGGAAATAGCTTCTGGCAACATGCTCCCAAATGCTACTTTGAGTTAAGGATACATACCTTTTATTTTTATCAATCTCTTGTCTTTATACATTTTACCATCAAAATATATTCATTTCATTAACATTGATTATTGAGAACCTGAAGAAAGTATCTGAGGCCACTACGCAGTTTTTTTTGATAGTTTAAACATAAAAGAATTGTGAATCAAGATGTCCTGTCTAGTTACTAGAGTGATAGAAATTCTCTGCTAGAATGGGTTGCATATAATTAGGTGATCCTGTAATTTTCTAGAGAAGGAAACAAATGCCTGGGTGAAAGTAGTTTGTCTGACATGTGCACACACAAAGTCAAGTCATGGAATTCAGAATGGAATACAGTTCCTGTTTCTCTCAGTCCATGTTCTATTTCTCTTCCTTTTTTCTCGTAGTTAAGCAGCTTTTGGCAAAGTGTTTTTCTTAATAGCGATAGTTCCAAGATATGTTGATGTTATAAGAGGAAAAAGTGTATGTGTGTGTGTGCGCGCGCACCATGCTCAAGTAACATTGAGGAATGCTGAGCTTCTTTTCCTTGGGATTTCTAAGAGTTCTTAACGTGCTATGATAACATTGTGAATTTATAAGAGGAGACAATTACTGTTTGACTTTAGATTGTGCCCCCTGCCCTCCTTTTCTCTGAGCATTTCAAAGGACTGTGGTCCCTTGGGAAATACAGCTCTTGATGAAGTTTACATCCCTAGAGGTTATACTGAATGGTGAATGTATTACTGTGATATCCTGCAATCATTAATAAATCTCACACTTTAGTGAGATACTAGAAAGCAAGCATATTTGCCATTCAGAGCTATACTTTAAAGTATAGAGGTTCTTTTTCACTGATGGTGTGTAAAATCGGTATTTGTGTTTGATTTTGCAAGTTTTTCAAGGATCAAGTAATGTGCAAACACAGTAGTGATATAGATATTACATTTTAATAATGTTTTGTATGGCACTTTATGGTTTTTAGACACCTTTGGGAACAACCCTGTGAGCTAGGCAGTATTATAATCATTGCAGATGAGGCACTGGAGGCTCTGAAAGGTTTTTTTTTTTTTTTTTTTTTTTTTTTAAGGATTTCCCTCTAAGTTTAGACCACAAAAGGATGGAGCCAGAATTTATTTGCAGAACTTCTGACTCTAAGTCCAGAGTTCTTTTCTCCACACCTGATCACTTATGCTTCTAAGTTTAGATTTTACAGAGAAATGTATGGAAGCAAATCTTAGAGTAACATCATTTTAGCTTATTGTGAAATACCAATTCTTTTGTACAGCAGTGACCCAGATGTGAACTCTCATTGTGGCTTTTCCAGAGAAAACCTTTCTTTGTCCTTTGCAGTGCCAGTTCTTGAGGTGACTGGAGTGTATTTCAAATACCATTTGGTTGTGAAACTAAGATTGGACATAGTTGTAATTACTCATGTATTCTCTGAAAATGTATCATCTCCACATTCTCAGGCAAAAGAGAGAGAGCTTGAAAGTAAACATAGTCAATTATGACAAATAAATATTCTTTATTCTTACACAAATGCTGTTTCTTAGCTTTAACTTGCTCTGACAACTACTGATGTAACCTCTTTGTAAAATGTAAAATATTTATATTTTGAAATAAAATTACTGCGGTTGAATGGTAACCTTTGCCTCTTGTTTCTTGAGAAATTTGATCTTTAGTTGTACTACATCCATCTCTCAGGCCTTGTATCCTAACTTCTCTTTTTGGCACCAGTGACCACTGAATTTTTATGAAATTTGATCAACTTGGATGAGGGAGGTATGTCTGGAGAGTGGATGTGGATGTAGGGCATTTGAAAAGATGCTAAGGGTCCCCAGCTGTGGCTGAATCCCTCATTGCACTGGGGAAATGGTTTTGTGATAAAGAAATGGTGAGGCATGGCTGAGCTGTAGGAATTGGAACTGGAAGAGAGTTGAATTAAGGAACTGTATTTTTTGAACAAAGAGAACAAGTCTAAGCTTGGCTATCATCAATGCCTAAGATACCTGTGTAGCTCTGGGAGAGGAAGCTGGACCAAAAATGGAAGCACTGCTAAACACATTTCAACAGTGCTTGGAGAACAGCGCCCAGCACCTCACTCAGATTGATGGTACCAGCTCATCAGTCAGTTGCTCAAGTCTAGAACTTCTTCACAGGGTGAATGCTTTTGACAGCCTCCGTTTGGCTTTCCTTCTGGAAACCTGAATATAAGGGGTGTTCCACATTCCCTCCTATCACCACCTGGGCTCCGCGTAAGTAAAATTTGGGCTCAGAGAACAATTCTTAATCTTGCCAGTGACTACGGTCAGAAATACACAACGATAATCTTTGCATTGACCTGTTAAGAAACTACTCTGTCCCTGGAGAAAAATTAATTTTTAAAAGTAGTTTAAAAAGTAATAGGATTGGACAATAGACAACGCTTTTTCAGGCATAATTTTGTTTTGGAGAATAAACAGCCCGAAAGATATACCATCTTCCTGCCGAGTACCCAGATATTCCCTATCGCATCATGAACTGT